CGCGTCTGTCGCGAGCCTGGATCTGCGTTGCGCGACCGTCGCGCCGATTTTCCGCGACGCACAGACTCTGAGCTCCACCTGCCGCGACAGCGATAAGCACGAGGTGCGAACAGTGGCTGCCAATCCTGCGCCCTACATATTGGCGGTGGTCGCGAGACGCTGCGCCTCGGCAGTGTCCGCGGCCCCGCGGTGTCGGCGTCCGCCGACCCTCCGCCGGGCAGCCGGCGCGCCGCGCGCTGGCCTTCGGCGGTCTGTCCGCCAGGGGCCCGACGATGGGGGCGCGATGCCCGCCGGCAGCGCGACTGGCCTGAAGGTGGCGGTCGTCCTTCCTGCTGGCGCCTTCGCCGAAGAAGGGAACTCCTCCTCGTCCGCGGGGGCCTTCGAAAAGCGGCTCGCGTGACCTCCGGACCCGCGGGCGCCGAAAAGCACGGGGACCTCATCCATGGCAGCTGCGAGTCTCGCCATCTCCTCCGAGTCCGCGGGCGCACCTATCTTTCGCGCGTCGCGCTGGCAGCGGCGCCCGAAAAGACGACTGCGGGAACGATGCCAGAACGTGCCCCGCGGCGCACGAAAGCTCACGCGGGGGTCGCGGTGGCAAGCCTGCGAGAGTTCGGATCAGCCCTACGCCTGTGAATCAGACTCAAACCACAGGGCGATAATGCGAGCTCGAGCCAGGAGTGTTACGGAACCTCCTCCTCCTCCTCCACCTCTTCCCCCTTTTCCTTTCCACTCGCCCTAACTCGGGTGCGCGCCCCATTCGGGTCCTGAACTGGCGGCGCTGATCCCCGCCGCTCCTATCCCCTCTTATCTTCACTCCCCCCTCATCCTGCTGCCCTTCCTCCTGCGCACCCCCTTGGGCGAGGATGTGTCCGCGGTGCCCACAACGACGCTGGCATGCAAGCGGCTCAAGCAAGAGAAAGAGAGAGAGAGAGAGAGAAACAACAAAACAGAAGAGAGAGACATGGATAGCAAGCGCGGGGCGGGCCTCCTCGCCGCCGACGGCGGCGCTGCCGACAAACCCACAAAAAAGGCCCCCAGGCATGTGCATGGGAACGCGGTTCGCTTGCCGATCGGACACGTCGGGGCCGATTTAGCAGCACGCTCACACAAGCACTCGGCAACGACACGGGACACGGCATATGGCCAATGGACAGAAGGAGGTCCGATACCCATCCTGACAATCAAAGCCTGCCTTGAACACATCACCAAAAGAGTGCAATCCTGAAAGAATCGTCCTCGTTGGCACAACTTGAAATTCAGTCGCACGGAGGACGACATCACATATGCTAGAGTGGTTTCTGACCCATTCGAGCTCGGGCAGCGACCAGGGCGACGGGCGGTGCGGAGCGACGACTGGATTCGCATGCGCCGTCGCCCATGAGATCTAGACCGTACGAGCCGCAACTGACAGAACGATCACGAACTGAAGCATTCACTTATCCTCGTGGGCTCTCGCCCAATCTTTGGGAGCAAGGCCAGGTGCACCCCAGGGGCGGGCAAGAGTACGAAACGGCTTGGCACGATAAAGCGTCCTCCTCCTCCTCCTCCACCTCCTCTTTCTCCTCTCCCCTCCTCGCCCCTCCTCTCCTGACCCTCTTCCCTGATCCCCGCGTCTCCTTTTTACATTCGATTTTCCACACCAATCCTCCTCGACCTCCCACCTCCCGCTGCAAGAGCCCCCCTCCGTCCTACTCCCCGCTACTCCTTCTCCTTACCGTTATCATCATCAGTCTCCGTCCTCTTCTCCTCCACATGTATCATTTCCTCTCATATCCTTATCCTCGTCCTCCCCCTCCACCGAGGTCTCTCGAGGCCCAGAGGCATCCGAATTACCTTCCCCTCTGTCCTCCGACACAACCCCCCGACATGTGACACCGGAGATCTCGGCCCATCCCGCAGGGCCACGCGAACAGCACTGCTGCTTAATGGGAGCCAAATTGTAGGAAATGATTAACCGCACTTTCCTACACGTTCAATATCTTAAAGTATCGAACGAAAGTGACACAGCGAACTGTGGGAAAGCACGAGCCGCGCGTTCCCACGACACCGAAACCTGCATCACCATTACCTACATAGCCGTTCGCGTGTCGACGCATCCTCGAAAGCCCCGAACCGCTCCCTGACGGACCCCCGAAGCAGCACGGTGAGATCCCCCGGCGGCCGACGAACAACAACAAAAACTACCGCTGCGCGATCCCTCCACGAGGCCAAGCGGCCGGGGTCGTCCTCCTCCCAGTGCCCCCTCCGCACGCCCACAGCAAATGCAGCACGCAAGCAATGCGCGCCAGCAGTTCAAGCAAGCAGTGCACGGGGCAAGCAATGCACGGGGCTCAAACTACATCGCAAGCAATGCAGCTAAACCGGAAACAATGCACGGGGCTCAAGCTAACTCCAGGGAAAGGGGAATGCCGGACAGAGGAGGACGGAGACGGGCATGCAGGCCCCCCACCCCAGCTCCTGCAACGCCTCGACCGTCGCCCGCATCAGGCGAAAAGCGGGATGGGGGAGGAGGGAAGCCCGTACCAGCAACCACCAACTCCCTCCGCTTCCCCCCCTCGTCTCGCGTCATCCCTCCCTTGGTGCGCTCTGCGCCGAATCTACGCCGAATCGAACCTGCGTCGGATCGACGACGAACCCGGGTCGAATTCGCGTCAGATCCGAGTCGAAGCCGCGTCGAACCCGCATCAGGAAAGACAGGTACAAGGTGCCCTGAAGGTGAACTGCAACGTAATCCCTCAATGCCTCCAAAAGCCCACAGGAAGACAAAGAGCGCCCCAAGATCGACACGCCCCATACGGAGACGGACAACCACGGGGACGATGCTCAACAGCAAATGTTGTCCAACATCGACAGCCGACGCTGTTGCGCAGGATACCTGCGTCCCGAATGACTCGCGTCCGCGGCGACTCCGACAGCGAGCCCAGTCCGAAATGGACAGAAAATGCTGTCGGTCTTCGTCAGAATCCTTTCTCCGAACCCATGTCGATCCTGCTGAACATACCTCGATCCTCTAGATATCTCCGATCTATCTCACTGCCACTACGCCCACCGAGCCCAGGTGGGCTCAGGTGCCACAGAACCAGATTACAACGGCATCTACCCCATCCAGGGAGGAAGGTCGACGAGCGAGGGAAAACTACCCGATGGACATGGATATTGGTTCACGGCAAGTTCATGACGTGACGACTTAAGAACTGGCAGCTGACACCGCGTAGATCGTTCCACCTTTAACGATGTCGGGCTTCCGATCGCGCAGGGTCGTCCGATGTCCGTAGATTCCAGGCGACACGCGGCGTTCAACCTTGAACGCCTGCGCTGGGGTCGCAGCCGCGTCGACACGACACGAACCGACTGTATCGCGTGGTGGCGGGGCTGATTCACCCAGCCTCGCCGCCACCCGAGCGCGCGACCCGCCAGAGATGCCCAATCCCCGCAAGGAGGGAGAGTGGCCCGGCATCGAACACCAGCGCATCAATTGCCCGTATGTGCCACAGTATGTAGGGGGGGGGGCTCCAGACCCCATCCCAATGCGATCGTCAGCGCTAACTGAGAGGAGGGGGTGGGGCCGGGTGGGGGGGGGGCCTGGGTTATGAGCGTTACCCTGGGAACGAAAAGTAAAAATCGCTCACGGGGTGGGCTAGAAGGACCCTATCGGCGATGAAGGGGCGATTGGGAGTCGACGCATCCCTCCCTGAGCGTAACGTTGACCCGAAGAGTCGGAGTCGAATTGGACTGACACGCCAAAATGCACAACAACGCCACGTAAACATGGGGCCGCACTGGACCGCCGGAATCTCGGCATTCGGCCAGATCAGGCCGAACGGAATCGAGATCGATTCGGATCGAAATGGAAATGATTGCTCTCGGGCCATGTCTAAGGATTGCTCTCGGGCCATGTCTAAGGCATCAGGCGGCCGCGTGGGACGATTCCGATATCTCCGGCACGCTTTCGACGAGGCGCAACTGTTGGAAACCTCTCCTGATCCCGAACGCCTACGGAACAGAAACCTGCATAAGACCAAAGTATCGAACCGGCTCCAACATGTATCAGAAAATCTAAAGAACGTCAGAAGATCTGTACAACAAGGACCAGAAACGCAAGACAATCGATCGAAGACGCCCGAAATCCATCAGAAACGTCAGAAGATCCATCGAACAACGGCTGAAAACGTAAATTAATCAGTCGAGAACGTCCGGGAACATCAACAACATGTGAGCCGCTATCGACTAAGGTATTTGGGCCCTGTCCCATTGGACTCGGCAAATGTGTGGATGCCACATGATAAGGTCTAATTTTCTGGCCGGTTCTCTGGGCGACACGTTTTGAGAACAAATCTACACTGTCTTTAAGCAGCCATTTGCCACTACTTAAATGGTGAACGAATGTCTAGTGGGGACACGGCGGCAAGACCCCCCACAAGAAACCCAGCCCTGAAAATCAACACATTGTCTTGCTCATGGTCTGGGTTTCTTAGCCAAGGGCCCCAATCGGAGAGATCCAGGATACCCTGGCCCGAAAAGTGTCTTCCAAGAGCGTGATGACTAGGAAATGCGCGAGGAGCGATTGAGGGAGACACCCAGGGCACCCTGGACGCAACAGCTTCGCTTCGTAACGATCGGGGGAAGTCACTGCGCATCGCTGGGAACACAGAAACCCAGAGCACCTTGACGAACAGCATACGATTTCTTGGTGCGCGTCACCACTGTAACAAATCTATCGGGGGTCGCGAAAGGTGCCCCTGGCCCAAGGTGCACCCTGCTTTCTGCTCAATTTCGGAGCCCCTGGGCCGCCTTGGCCTCGTGAAGGGTGCTCTGGAGGTCGTGGAGGCTTCCTCGGAAATCATGGGGGCACCTCGGGCTAGGGGCACTTCTGGCAGCACCAGAACCTGGCACAGTGGACACGTGTTCCTGCCCCCCGACCACAACCTGCCAGCCTCGCCGCAACGGCAGCGCGCGGCCCGCCAGAAAAAGGCCGCTCCCGCTCCGGCGGGGGCCGGCGCCTCTCGGACCGCCGGTAGCCGCACTTCTCGTAGAAGGCCACGTTCCCGTCGTTGCAGTCTAGGAGCACCTGCTGTTTGGCGGCGCGCAACAGGAGGTACGTGGGAGGGGGGAGGCTTCTCAGGAGGCTGCTTCTTACGAGGCGCGGGCCCTTCATCTGCAGACAAGGCCCGCAGCTTCGAAGAAGCAGGGGTGCCTCTAAGAAGCCTTCACCCCTCCCCCGACCCATCTCTGCGCGTAGACGAGCTCTCCCAGAGATGGCTCTGAACAAATGGCAGCGACTGTTTTTGGATAATCTTCGGCCTCCCGCGGCCCTCAACGGGCCCTGGGACCGTCAACGAAACACCCAGAACGAAAACTTGGTCCTGTAGGCAATTCGATCAAACCCCTGGGAGCCACGCGTCGAACGAATCGGGGCGCCTGGTGTCTCCCTGCCCTCCCTGCCTCCACCTCCTCCTCCTCCTCCCCTCTCCACGCTCCTTTTCCTTCCTGGGCCCCTCCCTCGCTGACGACGTCGGGGACGACCCCACGCTTCCGAGGTCATGAATTTGTTTCTCGATGTGGACCTCTAGAGATCTGGAACCTTGAGTTGTTGCTTATTTGTTATGCCCGTCCCGACGCCGAGGAGGCCAAGTTTGTCAAACATCTGCTTTTCGAATACCGAAACAAACATAAACATTAACCTTCGGAGGTAATCGCTGCCCCCCCCCCTGGCGGCGCGTCTGGCGCCGCCCTTGGCGCGTTCCGCGCGCCAGGGAGCGGGTCAATCACAGATGAAACATTACGCGCGGACCCCCGGATGTGTTTAAAGTCGACTGCTCCTTGATAGCGTCCCGCTAAAGGTTTCGAATGAAGTCCCACAAGGGTTACCGAGGGCCCGTGCCCGCCCGTAACGGTAGCCGTTTCGCCTGAGACTTCTTCACAATAAATTTAAGGAGCGTGTTCTCGCATCGATGTATGTGTCGATGCGAGGTGTTTTTTCACAACAAACGGTCAGGCAGGTCAAAATAATCTAAGCCCTCCCTCCGCCATAGCGCCGGGAAGGCTTGTAGCAGAAGGCGGCGTCGGGAAGGGGAGGTCGGCGGAAGTGGCAGCAGCGAACCTCAACAGTGCTACTGTTTTGTGTTCCCCCCCTCGTCCTTCCAGTACTCCGCCCGCCCACGCGGTGGGCGGGCGCGCACCGAGAAAAAACACGGGCCTCTTTTGGAGGCACATGTGATCTGTAGATAAGATCACTGTGGGATCTCCGTCCCAAGAAAAAAAAAAAAACCCACCAGAGGTACCAAAGTAAATGGAACCGACCTCCTCCGGAGGCGGCAGCGAGCCACGGATGGGCGCGTCGCGGGATCTTTGTCCCGAAAGTCCCCCACAAAGGGGCGACGAGGGTTCGGACTCTGCCGTCTGCGGGATCTTCGTCCCGCGCTGCCCTCCACCGGAGGATAGAAGCATTCGGTGGAGACTCCGCTCCACGATGCGCTCCACAAGAGGAGTGGGTTAATCGACGGCAACAAGCGCGACGTCGAGCGCGCCGCTCACGTCTGGTCGGGGGAGCGCCCCCCCCCCCTGCCGCTGGCCGCCGCCGCTGGCGGCACCGCTCGCCCCCGGGCCGCCTCAGCGCCCGTCGTTGGGGGCGCCGTCGGCAAAGGAGCGAGGGCGCGGATTGCCCCGGCGCCCCTCCTGGAAGCACAGGCGGCACGCGTAGTGCCCCAGCTGCTCCGAGGGGATGCCCCCTGGGGTAAGCTGGTCCGCTGCGGACGTGGAGGCGCCGCCTCTGCGCGGCTTCTTGGGTCTCTCGCTGACCGCGCCACCTCGCTTGCCCTTCTTCTTGGGCCCGTAGCCCTCGGCGCCCCGCTTGCTCTTCGCGGTCGGGCCCGCGGCGGTGTAGCTCGCGCCCGAGCCCCCCCCCGCCGGCGGCGGCAGTGTCGGAGGCCATCCTGCGGCGGGTTGGCACCTCGTTCCGCGTCGGGGCAGTTTCTTATCCTTCTTCCTCCGCGTCGCCACTGCGATCCTCTGACGAGGCCGACGCTCCTCCGCTGCTCGCCCCAGCCCGATGACGATGCGCGATCGCCTCCGGTGCTCCCGGCCGGGCACGCCGCCCGGTAGAAGTTCCCGAGCAAGAGCAGCCACTGGCTGTCGCTCAAGTCCTGCACCTCCTTGCGGTCGAACGTGAACCACTGGTCGCCCACTTCCAAGACCTGCCCCTCGCCCGCCACGCCCCCCCCCCCCGCCGAGCCATCGCCGCCGCGCCCCCTGCGCGCCCAGCACGCGGGCCCAGGCCCCGGACCGAACTGGAGCTCGCGCCCCGAGCTCCTGCCCCCCTTGCGCTCTTTCTTCTCTCGGCGCTCCCACGGGGACTGGGGCCGCAGCGCGCGGCGCCTGCTTCGCATCTGGCAGCAAGACCGGCCCGTCCTTGACCACGCCGCGCCCCGCGCGGGGCGGCGCCCGACTGCGGCCCCGCCGCTCGCCTTCGCCGCCCGAAGGGGGCGCGGTCTTCGCGTCGCCATGGCTGGCCATGACGCAGCAACGGTTGGCCGGGGGCACGCGCGCGCTGGCGCTCGCTCGGGCCGCAGCGGCTGCGCGGCGCGGCTTGTCACAAGAGCGAGAGAGGGCGAGGTGGGGCGGAGGATCCGTGGCTTCCCGTCGCCTGCCGCCTTGCCTCGCTTGTTGGCCTGAGCGCTCATCTCGCGTTCTCGCGTTCGACTCGTCAACATAAACTACTGAGACCACATTTTGTTTGCCCGTCAGACATCATCTACCGGCTAGGTAACCACCTCGCCCCCCCCCCCCCCCCCCTCCCCATTGCATTCATCTCTACGGGCCGCGTGGCGCGTGTGCCTTCAGCTTGGCGAACCACGCCGCGTCGCGCCGGTAGTCTGGGATGTGACCCTGCGATCTTCACATGGTCACACAAGCTCCGACAGTCGGTAAACAGCGCGGGCGGCATCTGTGCCTCCCCGTACTCCACCACCGACTGGTTGCTCCATCCGCGCAGCCGCATGTAGCGGGCCCTGCCATGGCCCGCCAGGCGCGCCGCCGTCTCGGCGGAGAACGCCGGCGCAACCACGCGGTGGCTCGCCCGGCTGCGCCAGTCCAAGATGGATATCGGCAGCTCCTCCTGTTCCAAGCAGCCCAGGTCACCTGCTGCGACTCATGCTCTGGTTTGCGACCGGACCCTGTGACGACCGAACCTCTTGCGGCCCTCGTCCGTCTCCAGCAGCTCGCCGACGTTGCCGCGGAGAGAAGAACCATGCCAGCAGCCCACTCCTATGCGGCCCTTGATCGGCACAAACCCCAGGCAGGCGGTCGCGACTGGCTTTGACGTCCCAGATGCATTGGATCAACTCCCGCGCGTCCGCATGGGTCAGTTCTTTCTGGGGCTTCTGAAATCGGTTCATCTCGAAGGCCTTGCACAGCCGGCACTGCCCGGCTAGCCAGTGCACAGGGCCCGGCGCCGACTGAAAATCCGCCCTACTGATCGGGGGCAGCGGCGCCTCCCACTTTTCCGCCCGCCCACAGTCGACCTCACCCAGGCGTCCGTCGGTAAACTCGGGCATGCTGACTTCGACGCAATCCGGCCACTCGGGGGCGACGTCCGTTGTAGAGGTCGCCGCTGGCTTGCCCCGACGCCGCCGTCCAGGGCCCAAACGGGGGCCTCTCGCTGAGCTTGCCCTCTATGTTGCGCACCATCGCGCCGCCATCGCGTGCAATCACACAATCATCAACATGAACGATCAGCACGCCCGCGAGACGGCCGCTCTCGCACAAGCCGGAAAACAAAAAAAAACGCCACGTCCAGATGCAACTGCCCCCAGCCCATTTCTTCGACCAGGGCCTTGCGAAAAGGTGTTGAACCATGCTCGTGGAGCGTCGGGCAGCCCGCACATCCCCCTTTCGATCTTGAGCAACTGGCCTGGCTCGAGTCCGGGAAGACCACCCCGCGACTGTCGCGCGCGCGACCCAGCCGAGGTTCGCGGACAGCTGCAGGGAAGCGTGGAAGCCATATCGCTGCAAGGCGGGAGCATCGGTCTTCACCGTTCCAGCTTCGCGTCGGGATCGCGCTGGCCCTGCGCGCGCAGCCGCGCCTTTGCGCGCGCGGGCGTCGGCGCCCCCGTGCCGCGCAGTGCAGCGTTCTTGTTTTTCGCTTCATGTCGCTGCCAAGGGCCCGCCGACGGCCCACCGGCCGCAACGCCTCCTCCGCTGGCCCCAGCACAGTCGCGCACTTCTAGCGCAGCCGCGAATTCCATTCCTTCTAAATGGCGGCGCGAAGGCCTTTCTGGTGAACTGGCGCGATGTCTTCCCACTTCAGCTCACGGCCATGCGTCTCGCGGTCTAGCATGGCGGGCCCCGCCCCCCTGCTGTGCGCCGACATCGCTTCGCGCGCGGCCCGATGGCCGGATTGCTCGGGCCCGTCTATTCGCCGCACCGTCGCGGGCATCTCCACCGTGGCAAGCGTCGCTTCGCGCCTCCGCTTCTTTTTTTCCTCGAACGCCACGAGCATTCGATCCGCGGGGGGCCGCGCGATTTCCCTGGGATTCAACATCTGGGCCCGCCGGGCTCGATGCTCGGTGCACCGCCATGTCCCCCCGTGCTCTTCGTTGGCGGCACGCAGCGGCCATTGCGGCGCATGGCGCCGCCCCTCTGGTGCCACCCGGGTCCGGGCACTATGCAAGCTCTGGACAGGAAGCCCCCGTTCGGTCAGTGCCCGGCGCGGGGCGTTCGCGCACCGCGCCGCCGCGGTAGCAATCGCGCGCCTTCTCCGCCTCGGCGCGGGCCCTCTATGCCTGGGTCGCCATCGCGGCGTTTTCCGTCAGGAAAGCCAGTAACTCCATAGGAACCTGTTCGTACTCAGCCGCTTCTTCTGCCCTTGGTCGCCCTCGGCCTCCATCTCCTCGTCGTGCCCCGCGTCTTCGGGCGGCTCGCCGTCGCCCCGCGCGGCGTCATCAGGGTCGTCCCCCTGGCCCCCGCGCGCCGCGTGCACGGCGCCCCCCCGCCGCGGCCCGCGGCCCGTCCTGGCCTTCGATGGTTCCGGTTCAGGTACTCTCGGCGGGATCCGCCTCCGCCGCCTGCGCTTGGCTGCATGGTTCACGTCCTCAGCAGCATCGACGCGCGGGGCAGGCGCGCCTTGGCGAAGCCCCGCAGCTTCTCGTAGACCAGCTCGCTGCCAGCGCCTGTGATGATCTAGCTCTCCTTGTCGCCGCCCACTCGCAACTTCTCGGGGAAGTAGTGCGCCTTAAGGTGGTTCTTCAGAGGCTCGCCCATGGCCTCCTCGAGCTCGCGGACCTCCGTCTCGTGTAGCGCGTCTCGAAGTCCAGCACCTCCTCGCCAGCTTTGCGCGCGAGCTTCCCCGCGAACTCGTCCACCAGCGTGTCAACCTTCAGCTCCTGCTGGTCGTACTTGCTGCGCAGGTAGCGCAGGAGCACCTGCGCGCCGTCGGGCACGGCGAGGACCCGTCGGGCACGGCGAGGGCATCGAGGTGTTCCGTCTTCGCCCCAGCATCCCCCTTGAGCCTGAAGAGCAGCCAGACGCCCCGCCGCTGAGGCGGGATCGCAGTGCTCGGCCCGAAAATCTTCACTCGGCGCTCGTACGTATGGAGTGGCACCGAATTGCCGTCCCACTCGGGGACGTACTTCTCCGTTGCCCGTTCGGTTCGCGCCAATTTCCGTCTCTGGCAGTTCCGCCGACGGCTCGCAAGCCGTCCCAGCTCCAGGTCTCCGACCGTTCGCTGGATGACCGATCCCGACCTGGGTCGGCCCTGGCCTCCGTCACCCACCCGTGCCAGGCGGGCGATACGCCTGGCTCCGGCCTGAGGGGGCCCCAGCGCTCCCTCTCCTCGGACCAGGAACTTCCCCACTCACGCCCAGGGAGTCCGTGAGTGCCCCAATCAGGCCACGAGTTCCATACGCCTCGTCCACGGGGGCCTCCCGCACCGCGGGGGGCTCCTCCAGCACGCGCCGCAGTGGCCGCGTGCCGCGGTCGGCCCACGTACCGCCGTCGGCCGATCGGAAACCATCGTCTTCTTCTGGGCCACCAGCCCGGGGGCTGTCCCGTTCATCCGCGCGCCGTGCGAGGGCTGAGCTGCTGCCGCCCTAGCGTCCATGTCCCTTCCTGAGGGCATATCGATTCCCCCACCGGGGTCAAGTTTCGCTGAGGTTCCTCCGCCGCGACCTACGCGGCGGATCGAACCCGCTCGACGGTAACTCCACTACCAATGTCGATGTGATGTGTTGTTTCACCACAAGCGGTTCTGCCTTGCTGCAGGCAGGTCAAAAGAGGCTAAGCCCTCCCTCCGCCCTAGCGTCGGGAGGGTTTGTAGCAGAGAACGGCGTCGGGAAGGGAGGCACGCGGAAGTGGCAGCAGTGAACTTCAACAGTATGTTTGCCAAAGTTTTGGTTCCGACGGCAATGATCCCGTACTCTCACCCCTCCCAGCTGCTTTCATCCCCTTCCTGCCTCTTCGGCTTTGCTGCTGTTAAGGTGCTTTGATGGGGCGACTTTGCAGTCTCCCGCCGACACCACAGTGAGAGGCCCCCCAACTGCAGTCAGAGAAGATGGAGTCGGACCACATGGTCGAAGCATGGGCGACATCGGCGATGTATCGGCGACGTCGGCGTGGAAAAACTCGGGTTCCACATCGTGCCGCATCTCCGATGCATCGGCGATGCGGCGCGATCCTCCGACACTTACTAGTCTGACCCCATCTGGAAGACCCAGATCCGGAATAATGCGCGTGCAGGGTTGGCGGCGGAGTCTATGTTACGACGGCAATAGCTCGTAACGGCAACGGGTCTCCACCATCGATGCGAGATCATTCCAGCGAGTACGGTATGAATGAAACTTGCTGGTCGGCGGCGAAGGCGAGAGACGACGCGGTCGAAAGCCAGGACACGAGTGAAACAAGCAGGCAACTGGTGCGAAATGGCACCCAGGGAGCAGGTCTGCGTGCTGCCGAGGACCTCCGAGCGACCAAATGTCTCAGTACTGGCTCTTCCCCTTCCCCCTCGGCCCCAATCCTGGGGTTGGACGCCCGAAACGGATACGGAAAAATGGGTACGATGTTGAAACAACAACTGGTGTCCGAAACCGACAGCTGCCGCTGCTGGGCAGGCGGCGTTTGGGCAGCGTCCGCGGCGACACCGAAAGCGAGGCCTCTTCAGCATGAACAGGATGTGTTGCCGGTGCCAGCACCCCATCTTAGAGGGGGAGGGAGGGCGGCGGGCGCCTTGCAGCAGCCCGCCTCGCGGGCCATGTCCCGACACTCCTGGAGGGGGGCGGGGGCTGCGCGACCGTTGGAAGGCAGGCGGCCTGGTGCACGCGTGTGACCCTCCATTCTTTCTCCTTATAAATAACTCCTCCCTGTCGCACCCCTAGACAAGATTTTTGGGCGGGCCGGGCGTTTCCCCTGAGACTTCCTCACCGTTTATGACACTGACGCTTCAAAAATGACAGCAGCTTCACATATGGAGGGCGGGTCGTTTTCAAAATGTGACTCTGGCCTTGGCACCGCGCACATTCGTTTTGAAAGCTTGCAAGAGCTTCACGGAATGAGGGCGGTTGGTTTTCAAAATGCGGCTCTCGCCTTAGCGCCGCGCACATTCGTTTTAACAAATTGCAGAAGTTTCACGGATTGAGGGCGGTTCGTTTTCAACATGTGCCTCTCGCCGTAGCGCTGCACACATGTGTTTGAACATGTGCAAAAGCTTTACGGATTGAGGGCGGTTCCTTTTCAAAATGTGGCTCTCGCCTTAGCGCCGCGCACATTCATTATACAATGGTGAAAAGAGTTTCACGGGTTCCCATTATCAGCGTACCAGAAGTGGCGTTTTGGAAGAACTCAGGGTTATCCGGGCGCAGCAGTTATCTTGATTCGCTGTTCCGAAGTCCCAAAAATTGCGTTCTGGCACGATGCTGGATCATCAAGACGCAACAGTCAGATTGCTACGTGGCGTTGAAATCCCGAGGACAATGTTTTAGCGCGCTTCAGGATCTTCAAACTGTTGTCTTCCAACGAGGCAGTTCCCTCAATGGAAATGAACCGTTGTAGGGGCCTATGAAGAGGGAGCTCGGAGGGAGGGTTAATTCCAACATCGTTGATGACTCTTGGGTTTCCACTGGTCCTTTCCTCCTCCTCGTCCTCATCCTCCTCCCTACGTCGTCGCTCCTGCTCTCTCCTCCCATCCTCCCACCATCTTCCTACATACACCATCCACCTCCCTCTTCCTCCTCCTCCTCCTTCCTCTTGCACGCACCAGCCTCCTGCCCCCCCCCCCTCCATTCATCTTCCTCCCGTCTCCTGCTGCCCCGCCTCCCGGGCAGCGCGAGAGCGGGGTCGCATGTGTTCGACCACAGGGCGGGGTGGGCCACCCTCCAGCCGAGCCCCCCCCCTCCGACTTGATTGGTGAGAAGGCTAGCCTCTGAGGACGGATGTGCCCATTCGAGAACTCACCCAGGGCCATGCACGCGGCACGCGGCCGCTCGCAGGTCCTCGCAGGCCTTGTCTTCCAACCTTCCACTCTCCTCATGATCTTCCACCCTGAATCCTCACTCCTTAACCTACTCTGTCCTATCCCATCCTCCTCATCCTTCCTCCCCCTCCATCTCCACATGTCTAGCTCCTGCCCCATCTCTATGCTCCATCCACTGCGTCCTGTTCCTCATGCTCCTTCTCCTCGGTCTGTCTGCTCCTCCTGTCCTCATCATGCGCATCACCACCTAGCTTCATTTGTCGAACGCTCGCCTACTGTCTGCAAAACCGATTCGCAGCCTGAGAGGCCCATATGAAAGAGTCGGTAGGAAACCCATGGTATCATCAACTCTTCCTCGGCCTCCTGCTTCTCATCCGTCGACAACTCCATCCCCTCCCGTTGCTCGTCCCCCAACTCCTCCTGCTTCCTTTCCTTCATCATCGTGCTCCTGCTGCTCTTGCTCCCGCGCATTACCCACTTACTCCAAAATCCTCCAGCTCATTCACCACCTTGAAATTCCGAATATTCCTCCTCTGGCTCCGTCCTTACCCTCCTTTTTGCTCACATCCGCGCCTCTTCCTTCTTGGAACCACGTGTCATCATACTCCTCCACCCTCCTCGAATAGCGTCGCCCCGCAAGCTTCTGGGATGACTTGTCCGAGGGCAAAGAAGGCACTTTTCAGAACATCGAAATGCGGGAATCCCGCTCCACAAAGAACACTATAACGACTGCGATGGCGACGGCTATGACGATACAACGATACTTGTAACGATGATGTACCGCTAACCTGTGTGAGAACGTGAACGGTTTTTGAATCGAATCAAGGACGCGCATCGGCCACAACAAATCATCAAACCTTCCTCGAACGATGTGCCTCCAAAACTCCCGCGTCTCCTCCCACACGTGGCGGGATACCCCCCGTGTCTCTGTCCGTGACCACCCTTGGCGAGACGTGACATCATAGTGACTTATACGAAGAGGATGAACGCCGATGTCACGTTAAACGGATTGTGCGAATCGGTCGACCCAACTCATGATCTTGAAACTGAGTTTTGGGCTGGACAGGAAGTCCAGGAGTCCGAGGCGGTGCGAAATGCCGCCCCCGATGCTGCGCACCAAAGTTTGATCAAAAAACTCGAATCGCGCAGGCAATACGACGCCCCCCGCGCACAAAACACAGCAGGGTCCTGTGAGCGCACAGGTCTTATATCGAAATCACGACTCAAGCTGCTCCCGTGCAAACAGTCACAAGACCAAACAGACAGTCACAAGGATCAATTCATACGGACTTTTCCGAAAAAAGTAAAGCTCAGATGCGATTGGTTGAATGTCCCGTTCACGATTTCGTTGGCCGTTCCGCTCGAGACATCCTCAACATTATGAGCATCGATCGCACCACGCGCGCAGATTGCGACGCCACGGTCAACAGACACATTGGGTGTTCGACATGTTGCCATCAAAACTTCAAACACACAATAGGTCTCAATCGTGTTGGACGTCGCACTTAGAACACCGGTCGTTTTGCGTGAGACGTCCCCCAAACATTGACACCCGATATATTCAAACTTGTCCAAAACTTCTTCTAAATGGCAATCTCGCCAAGAGCATCCTTCAAACATTGGCTCCGGAGCCCCTCTTCAACTGCAATCGCAAGGTGTGGAACACACACGTGCATCATACACATTGCAAAGTGTGGCAACCCCACCTGCGTTCGACTGCGATACCGCTGATGCACTTCCTTCTCGACAACCTCCTGTTGATGCTCATCATCACCAACATTTCCCAACCATCCTGTGGTGTTGGGTCCTCGTTTTGAAGAGACAGCGCCCGGCGTTCACTGCTCCCGCTGGCCCCTCCCTCCTCCTCATTGGAATCACCGCCGTCACCGCCATCATCATCATCATCATCATCATCATCATCGTCATCATCATCTTCGTCATCTTCATAATCGTCTTCATCATCGGCATCATCGTCATCATCACCGTCGTCACCATCATCATCGCCGTTATCGTCACCATCATCGACACCAATTTCGGCACACCCCTCACACGTTTCGTGGCCCCAGAAGGAGCTCCACCGAAGGCCCCAACGGCAGCGCCCGCATGCGGTTCTACCCCCATTTCGGCTCACCCCTCATACGTTTCGTGGCCCCGTAAGGAGCTCCACGGAAGTCTTTTTTTGTGCCCGAACAGAACGCCTGGGCGACACAACCCGAAGGGAGGAACCCAAAGTGCCTGCATGGATTCACACGCAGTCGGACCTCGCAACACGAACGGCGGCACGGACCGCCCCAGGCGATATCCGCGCCGCCGTTGCGAGGTGCCTCGAGATGCCACCCCGAGACTCGGCCACCGGCACCACCCCCAATTGGCCGCCGGCCTCAAGCAGCGGAGGCCCCGCTGCCCAAGGACTTAAGTACCCGCGCCCCCCACGTCGGGGGACCCCTTCGAGTAACCCCAGCGGGCCTCTCAGGGGTGGTACGGCGGGCCCGCACCTACTGTGGCTGGCCAACCACAGGGCAAGAGTCTCTCCCACAACCCCGTCGAGCTGTGGTGACGATCGGGCTGCCAACCCGCCTGTTTTCCTGGGACGCCACGAGGGCACCCAGCGGCACAGGTGCCGAGCTCCACGGAAGGCCCCAACGGCTGCGTTCGCATGCGGTTCCATCCCCATTTCGGCACACCCTCACACGTTTCGTGGCCTCACAGGGAGCTCCACCGAAAGCCCCAGCGACAACGCCCGCATGCGGTTCCACCCCCCTGTCGGCACACCCCTCACACGCTTCGTGGCCCCATAGGAAGCTCCACCGAAGGCCCCAATGGCAGCGCCCGCATGCGGTTCCACCCCAATTTCGGCACACCCCTCACACGCTTCGTGGCCCCATGGGAAACTCCACCAAAGGCCCCAAAGGCAGCGCCCGAATGCGGTTCCACCCCCCTGTCGGCACACCCCTCACACGCTTCGTCGCCCTATACGGAGCTCCACCGAAGGCCCCAGCGGCAGTGCCCGCATGCGGTTCCACCTCACCGTTTTGGCACACCGCTCACACGCTTCGTGGCCCCACAGGGAGCTCCACCGAAAGCCCCAAAGGCAGCGCCCGCATGCGGTTCCACCCCCATTTCGGCACACCCCTCACACGCTTCGTGGCCCCAGAGGGAGCTCCACCGAAGGCCCCAGTGGCTGCGTTCGCATGCTGTTCCACCCCCATTTCGGTACACCTCTCACACGTTTCGTGGCCCTATACAGAGCTCCACCGAAGGCCCCAGTGGCTGCGTTCGCATGCGGTTCCACCCCCATGTCGGCACACCCCTCACACGTTACGTGGCCCCGTAAGGAGCTCCACCGAAGGCCCCGGTGGCTGCGTTCGCATGCGCTTCCACCCCCATGTCGGCACACCCCTCACACGCTTCGTGGCCCCACAGGGAGCTCCACCGAAAGCCCCAAAGGCAGCGCCCGCATGCGGTTCCACCCCCATTTCGGCACACCCCTCACACGCTTCGTGGCCCCAGAGGGAGCTCCACCGAAGGCCCCAGTGGCTGCGTTCGCATGCTGTTCCACCCCCATTTCGGTACACCTCTCACACGTTTCGTGGCCCTATACAGAGCTCCACCGAAGGCCCCAAAGGCAGCGCCCGCATGCGGTTCCACCCCCATTTCGGCACACCCCTCACACGTTTCGTGGCCCCATAGGGAGCTTCACCGAAGGCCCCAGCGGTAGCGCCCGCATGCGGTTACACCCCCTTGTCGGCACACCGCTCACACGCTTCGTGGCCCCATAGGGAGCTCCACCGAA